CCCGTCGACCGGGCCCGCCGGGAGGGTCAGCTCCAGCGCCAGGCGGCCCGGGCCAGCTGCCTCCGCCTCCCCCCTTGCCAGGGAGGGCGCCAGCCCCTGCATCGACGAAGACCGCCGGCGTCGTGGCAGAATCGCCCCCCCGTGCGGGCAAGGCCTGCACTCAGACGTGGCGCCACGCAGCTGCGGAGCGGAGCGAGGGACCCAGACCCCCTCGCGCTGTGGAAAAAAACAGGACGGGAGGTGTTCCCCATCTGCGGCCCTCGGGGGCCCCCACCGGGCCCCAGGAGCACTCGGTGAAGCTCCCCATGGGGCCACGCAACGCGACAGGGGTGTGCTAGAATGGGCGCGGTCACGCCTGCGACGTCTGCCTCTGCGGCCCTCGGTGGAGCCCCTTTTGGGGCCACGAAGCGTGCGAGGGTTGCGATCCCACATGCGATTCCTGTCACGGGGGCCTTCGGTGAAGCTCCTTAGGGGGCCACTAAAACGTGCGAGGGGTGCGCTGATATGGGCGCGGTCAAGCATGCGATTCCTGCCACAGCCTGCCACTGGGGCTTTCGGTCAACTTCCCTACGGGGCTACGCAGCGTGTGGAAGATATGCCGAAACTGGCGTGGTCACGCATGTGGCTCCTGCCACTGGGGCCTTCTGATAACCTCCCTATGGGGCCACGAAGCGTGTGCGGGGTGTGCTGGAATGGGCGCGGTCACGCACACGATTCCTGCTACTGGGACTTTCGGTGGAGCTCACTACGGGGCCACGCAACGTGTGAGAGGTGCCCAAATGGGCACGATCACGCATGAGATACCTGCCACTGGGGCGTCTGGCAAAGCCCCCGATAGGGGCCACGAAACGTGCGCGAAGGGTGCGCCGGAATGGGCGCCGTCACGCATGCGATTCCTCCCACTGGGGCCTTCGGTGGAGCTCCCTATGGAGCCGGATGGGTGTGCCGAAGTGGGAGCGGCAGGAGGAGGGAGGAGGAGGGAGGAGGGGGGGAGAGGAGAGGAGGAACGGGGCGGTGCGTATTCAAAACGAGGACCCAGCACCACAGGATGGTTGGGAAAAACATGGATTCCCCATACAAGCTTGAATGCTCTTAGCGTTCTCGTGCTTTCGGGCGCCCGAACCCCCAAAACGGCCCAAGGGGCATCTGAGGGGCCCCCCGAGACGGCTCGATGGCCCCCCAAGACAGCCCAGAGGGCCCCCCGAGAGGGCTCGAGAGGCTCCCGAGAGGGGCCCAGCTATCGGAACACCCATCGGGACCACTATCGAGACTACCATCGGGGGGACAACCATCGGGGTAACCTTTGGGACCATCGGGCCAACCATCGGGCCAACCGTCGGGGCAACCATCGGGGCAACCCCGGAGCCACAGGGGCGACGGCCCAGACCACGGGGCTACTCAGTTTGGTCCGACGTGGCCCAGGCGGGGTCAGGAACTCGCGCCGCACCCGCGCGCACGGCGCGAACGAAACGAAGCGATCTCCCAGTTGGGGCACCTCACGTTTCACGTCGGTACCACCCTGACCTCCCAGGTATACATGCAAGAGAACATGCTGAGCCACAGGCAAAACAAACAACGCAACATATACACTTTACCAGCGTAGACCCCAAACAATGACTCGTTGCACAATGATGTATAACCAATGTGGTGCAAGCTGTGAGGTACGCAAAATGGTACAACACATGTATGTTGTACAAGCTATGCGGTGTAAACAATGTGGTCCAAGCTATGCGGAGTAAACGATGGATCGTAAGTTATGTGATGTACGCTATGCGGTGCAAGCTGTGTGGTGCAAGCTAGATCGTGCAAGCGATGCAGTGCAAAGCATGCGGTGCAAGCTATGTAATGTTATATGTGTGGTGTAAGCTATGTGGTGTAAGCAATTTAGTGTCAGCTGTGTGGTGACAGTTTGTAGTACAAACATGTTGTGCAACATATGGGGTGCACACTATGGTGCAGGGCTGGACCCTGAACGTTGTGTTTCGTCTTGTTGTCCTTCTGTTGTTCGTTTTGCTCTGCCTGTTTTCCCGTACCTCCCTCCCAAATCGAAAACAACACTCAGCCGAAGTCCAGCAACACAGCTTTCAGGTCCAACCCTGCTATGGTGTGCAAGCCGTGTGGTGAAAGCCGTGCGGTCTGCACGGTTTCCTCCCGGGTCCGCAGGCGGCCCGAGGAAGAGGAGGAGAAGGAGGTGGAGGAGGGGGAGGGGGAGGAGGAGATGAAGGAGGAGGGGGGGGAGGAGGAGGAGGAGGAGGAGAGGGAGGAGGAGGAGGAGGAGGAGGAGGGAGGAGGAGGAGGAGGAGGAGGAGGAGGAGGAGGAGGAGGGAGGAGGAGGAGGAGGAGAGGAGGAGGAGGGAGGAGGAAGAGAGAGGAGCAGAGAGGAGCAGAGAGCACGGGTCGCCGAAGCCCTTCGGAGAAACCCTCCCGTGCGGTCGCAGAGCCAACGCGGCGACCACGAGCGTGCGCCCGGCGAGACCTCGGAACGCCCGCCCGGCGCACGCGGCGCCCCCGAGGCGCCCACGAGGCGCCCTCGGGCGGCCACCCCCGGCAGAGCATCGGCACCCCCGCGACGCGCCGGACGGCGGACGAGCCGCGATACCTCAGCACGCCCTGCACGGTTTCTCCCCCGGGCCGTAGGCGACCCGAGGAGGAGGAGGAGGAGGAGGAGGAGGAGGAGGAGGAGGAGGAGGGGGAGGGGGAGGAGGGGAAGGAGAGGGAGGAGAGGAGGAGGAGGAGGAGGAGGAGGGGAGGAGAAGAGGAGGAGATGGAGGAGGAGGAGGAGGAGGAGGAGGAGGAGGAGGAGGAGGAGGAGGGGGAGGAGGAGGAGAAGGAGGGAGGAGGACGAGGGAGAAGGAGGGAGGAGGAGGAGGGAGGAAGAGGAGGAGGAGGAGGAGGAGGAGGAGGATGAGCCATTACTTACAAGGTTTGCGTTTTTGTATTCGGTGTTTTGACATTGGGCGGCAAGGAGGGGGGGAGGGGGGCGGGTTCTGGCTCTGGACCTCTGCTTAGCGCGAGTGTCTGCAGCAGTGCGTCATATGGGGGAGACCCCACCCGTTCGAAACAGGCGCCCAAAAACGGCCAAGATTTACTCGAGAGGGGGGATGGGGGGGGTTGGGGGCCCGCGCCGATCGGCAAAACGATGAACAAAAGAACGATCTCCACTTGCCATTACGCACAAGCCGCAGCAACGACTCCTCAGCCGAAGCACTGTTCGGCGCTGGAGGCGGCCATGGGGGTCTGCACTGCACGGGCCCCGAGAAGATCGGTCAAGGCGGCGGGCTGCAATCGGCTCCGCCCAAAATCGGTCCCCGGACCCCTCCACCCGGTGAAAGTGTTCCCTCCCGAACCCATGTTCGACGGCCGCGGGGCCCGAACGCGGCCCCCCCCCCCGAGGCCGAACAGGGCACGAAGGCCCTCCCCCGCCCCGAACCTCTTGGCGCAAAGGGAGTGGCATCCCGTGTGGTGGTCCTCCCGGCGTAGTTATGCGCATCGGGGCCAAAGGTGGCGAAGTCCCACTCTCTGGCTGGACCAGACGAGACGGAGCAACTTCACCGACCCAAACTCATCAAAATTTGACGTGTTTGAAACACCTCAACGCCCTGTTTACTGGCGGACGGGGTCAACAATTTCAGCAGTCCTGGCCGCAAGGAGCACACCGTGAGCAACGGGAACCCCGTATCCAAGCCGATGCAAGGCTGAACCTAAACGGAGTTTTTCGCTTCCGTGTTGTTCTCGTTTTCCCTTGTCTTGACATCAATCCGCCTCTACCGCAAAACGAAGTCGAACGGAAAACGGCCCACGAAATCGCCAAAACACCGTTTAGATCCAACCCTGGGCCGATGGTGGCCTGCAAGAAGCTCGCAGCCGAATTCTGGTGGTGGCCATCCAGGTCGTTACACCCAAACTTACCATCCGTTTCCGCTCTCAGCTGCACATTTCCCTGAGCTCTCGATGCCGCCCCACACGAAGACCTACCGCAACAGCCCCTCACCCAGCAGCCTTGCTCACCCCCGCCCTGATATAAAAACCTGCAGCACCTAGACTAACGACGTCACCGACTGGACAACGCAGTCCACCCAGACTGAAGCGGCACTCACCACGGACAACATGCCGACCCTCGCCATCAGCGAAGACACTCGGCACCGACATCGCCACCTGGCTGCCAAATCAGCGTGCACAAATATAACCACCTGAGCCTCACGTCATAACGGTGGCTCCGACAACGACCGTTATTCATGTGCCGTTCCGCCTGTCCGAGGAGGAGCTCCAGATGCTCCCTGAAACAGTACGGACTCGGGCTCTGGAGGCCCGGCAGTGGGACGAGGAGAGCTGCTGCGTCCCTCCTGCACACATGCCCTCCTCGGAGCAAAACGAGGGGTACACGTGCGCTTCTGCTTTGAACACATGAAAAACGCCTCCCGCCCCCCACATGAAGAACTTTAGGCCAATGGGACCGTCAAACGACGCGCGAACTGAGAGCCGAAACTGCTCGACGGTCAGCCAACCACAGCGCCGCGACAGTCAGTGTAAATCCATAGTTGTGGGGGCCGGGGTCGCTTTCCCACAGCTCATGCTTCTCTGCCAAGACCAGGCCGACTACGACCCGACACAGTGGCTACAAAACTTCACGAACGAGAGCGCCCGTGAGAGTTTTCACGGGCGAAGAACGGTATAAAATAAACTTTTTCGCTGTCGGGGGCGCCTGTCCCAGGGCGGCTGGAAAGTTTATACTCTTACGGTGGCACCGTAGGGGTATAAACTTTCCAGCCGCCCAGGGACAGGCGCCCCCGACAGCGAAAAAGTTTATTCTACACCGTTCTTCGCTCGCTGAGAGCTGGAGGGGCAGTGCCCCGCGTCGTGGAATGCGGGGGCAGACCGTGGCCGGAGGCCTCCCCGGCGCCCCTGGGCGCCACGCCGACACCGACACGGACAGCGAGCCCAGGGCAGGCTGGGGGCGGCCGTGTCTTTGCCGCGGGGCCCGCGCGCCCTGCGCGCGGGCCTGCGGCGCCCGTGGCCCGCAGCAGTGCTGCACGGAGGCTCACCCCCCAGGGGCGCTCTGGAGTCTTGCCCGAGCCCAGAACCTCGAACCTCTCTGAAGGGGAACTGGGACACACAAACAAATAGACACAAATAAAAAGATTCCCCATCTTTTCCCATATTTTCTGGGTTTCTGTCTTCCCCCCCACTTCCCATATTTTCCCATATTTTCCTGGGAGTCGAAGATTAATTGTGTCTGTGTGTTTTTTCCCCTCCTGACTCTCCCTGAACCAGTGCTGGGCCACTTCAGACCCCTCCCCCTAGCTGGCTCCAAAGTGTAAGCACCAATGTTCGGCGGCGAGCGAGGGACGGGACGGAAAATGGGGGCGGGCCTCCTCAGGGTGCTCGGAAGTCCTCCGGCCTCCTGAGAAATCTCCCGAACCCTCCCCGAAGACGCCGCAACACTGTTTGGTAGTCCCCAAATGTGGTGGTGACAACACCTGGCGGTGAGTCTCGGGCGATTTGGTGTCACCACCCGGTTTGGGGACTCGTGCGGTTTTCCGAGGATGTCCGGGACACTGGTGGGTCCAGGAGCCACGAAACCCGGTGGTGACCCCGCGTCCCCAAACCCAACGGTGACCTTTTTGGGGATTCCAGGTCGCCACCTGGTATCTCACCACCCGGTTTGGGGGTTCCCAAACTGTCCAGACGTCGCGAGGGATACCCGGGAAGTCCCGTCGCCTCCCGAGCAGGCGCTCCCCCTCCGGCTGCCCCCCGGGGAGCAGCACAAGGACGCCGGGGTCGGCGTCGGTGCGCGCAGTTGGCGCCCCCCTCATCCTCCGGGCGTGGCGGCTGGGGAAGAGTCCGGGAGGCTCCCGCATCGGCCCCGCGGGCCCCCGGCCGCGGCGGCCCCCCGGCGCCACGAGGAGGAGGAGGTCTGGAGGCCCGAAGCTCTCGGGCTGGAGTCCAGGGCGGAACCCGAACGGTGCTTTTCGTTCTCGATTTCTGTTTTCGTCTTCCCTCGTCTTGTCGCCTCCTAACGCACCACGCAGTCGAAACGAAAACCGCCCACGAAATCGCCCACACACCGCTTAGGCCCACCCCTGGATGGGTGGCGGGGGCGGGGCTCCGAGCTCGCCACGTGTGCGACGACCTCCGACGCCTACCCCCCGCCGCCCACACGAGTGGCCCGACCCGTGGATCGGCGAGGGAGGGGCGCCGGGACGTCTCGCCAGCGAGGGAGGCCTCCCGGAGTTGGGGTCCGAGCGGGCGGGGCCGCCAGATCGCGCCGCATCGCCGATGCCTCGGCGACGTCGGCGACCAAAATCGGATTCCGCATCGAGCCGCATCGCCGATGCATCGGCGATGCGGCGCGATCTGGCGGCCCCATCTCCTCCGACCCCATCTGGGAGGCCTGCATTTCGGGCACGGCCTACCCCCTAGTCTCCGACGGTTCATGATGTCTTCAATCCCCGTGCTTTTCCTCCACCTCGGCCCCTGGAACCCGTAATCGGGCCGGACCCCAGGACCATCAATCATGGACCCGGGTCGACAATCCATTGTCGGGGAAATGGTCTGGACCTGAAGGGCCGCACGTGGAAACAAACGGCATCGTCGGATGTCTGGGATCGACCCCTAAAACGAGCGAGGCCAAAAACAAAACCACTGGTTTTGTTTTCGAGAATCTCTGAGTCTTTCGGCTCTGGAGGATATCTCGGGCGTCGCGGCGTTCTCAAAGCGTTCCGGAGCGCCCTAGAACGAATTTACAGTATCCTCGTCCTAGCCCCGCCCGAACCCCTGCCGTGACGAGCCCTTCCGTCACGAGCCCCTATCAGCCTCGAGGCTATCCTCTGGATATGCTGTTCCCATCGTACTTTAGTACCACGTCCCAGAAATGATTCCGAGCACCAGAGGACAGTGTCTGCCTGACACGCTAGCGAAGGGTCAGACACGAGAAATCCTCCACTTGTGGTACTTCCCTGGTGCTCGAAAGCCTTCCTTGTGATCTGATGGGCCTGTTTTCCACCACCACCACCATAAGTTGGCGGGGGGAGGGAGAACGAGGAGGAGGAGGAGGAGGAGGAGGAGGACCCCCTCCCCCTCCAACTTCTGGTGGTGTTGGGTCGGAACATCATAACCATCTGGCCGCACGCCTGCGCCCGTGGACGCGACGCGAGGGCGCCGGCTCGGGAGAGGCGTCTGGCTGGCTGAGGGTCGGGCTTGTCGCCGTGGACTCTTTCTTCTCTGGAGCCGAGCATCCAGCCGGGTTCTCTCGTCGGGAAAAAGCCCGACGGACCGCGCTTGCCTTACAGTGGGGGCTCGACCACAGGAAACCTTCTACGAGGGACCCAACCCTGAGACCCCAGGACATCCACCGAGTTCCCGGCGTGGGAGCGTCACGCCCTCCACGGCAAACCCATCGGAGCCCGAGAAGCCCAGGGCACCCTGGAGGCAAGCAGGGTGTTCCTTGGCTGGGCCCCCCCGCAGGAGGAGGAGGAGGAGGAGGAGGAGGAGGAGGAGGAGGAGGAGGAGAGAGAGGAGGAGGAGGAGGAGAGGAGGAGGAGGAGGAGGAGGAGGAGGATGACGAGGAGGAGGAGGAGGAGGAGGAGGAGGAGGAGGAGGAGGAGGAGGAGGAGGAGGAGGAGGAGGAGGAGGAGGAGGGGGGAAGGAGGAGGAGGAGGAGGAGAGGAGAGAAGGAGGAGGAGGAGGAGGAAGAGGAAGGGAGAGGAGGAGGATGAGGAGGGGGGAGGAGGAGGAGGAGCAGGAGGAGGAGGAGGTGGCAGGAGAAGGAGGAGGAGGAGGAGGAGGAGGAGGAGGAGGAGGAGGAGGAGGAGGAGGAGGAGGAGGAGGAGAGGAGGAGAGGAGGAGGAGGAGGAGGAGGAGGAGGAGGAGATGAGGAGGAGGAGCAGGAGGAGGAGGAGGAGGAGGAGGAGGAGGAGAGGAGGAGAGGAGGAGCGAGGAGCAGGAGAGCAGGAGGAGCAGGAGCAGCAGGAGGAGGGAGGAGGAGGAGGAGGAGGAGGCGGAGAGGGAGGAGGAGGAGGAGGAGGAGGAGGAGGAGGAGGAGGAGGAGGAGGAGGACGAGGAGGAGGAGGGGAGGAGGAGGACGAGGAGGAGGAGGAGGAGGAGGAGGAGGAGGAGGAGGAGGAGGAGAAGGATGAGAAGGAGAGAAAGGAGAAGGAGGAGGAGGAGGAGGAGGAGAGGAGGAGGAGGAGGAGGAGGAGGAGGGGAGGAGGGAAGGAGAAGAGAAGGAGGAGGAGGAGGAGGAGGAGGAGGAGGAGGAGGAGGAGGAAGAGGAGGAGGAGGGAGGAGAGGAGGAGGAGGAGGAGGAGGAGGAGGAGGAGAGGGAGCATTCGGTTGAGCATTCGGTAGGTGGTTATACCCCGCAGGGTAGCGTCCATCCCGGGCCGGGTGGAAACACCCCGCAGGGCCTATATCCCCGCGGCTCCGGGGCGGGGGCGTTGTCCCGCAGGACCTGGCTCTTGAGAGCAGCAGGCTGGAGTACGGAGAGGAAGAAGACGGAGAAGAGGGAGGGCTGGGCGGAGGAGGAGGAAGAGAAGAAAGAAGAGGAGGAGGAGGAGGACGACGACGACGACGACGGCGACGAAGAGGCGGAAAAGGACGACGAGGGGGAGGGAGGGAGGGGCCCGCAGGCCGGGGAGGGGCCCGCAGGCCGGGGAGGGGCCCGCAGGCCGGGGAGGGGCCCGCAGGCCAGGGAGGGGCCCGCAGGCCAGGGGAGGGGCCCGCAGGCCGGGGAAGACCCGTAGGCTTATGCAATAATATGTTTTTGTGCGACCCCGCCTTGCCGTGGTCACGCCGCGCGCCCGGCGCACCCGCACGCGTGCACGAGGGTGGCGGTGAGGAGCCCGAGGTAGCGGACCTTCTCTGCGAGCGCGTCGAGGGCGTCCGCGTCGCGCAGCACCCACGCGGCCACGGCGTCAGAGCCGAGGGGGCACCGCTCGCAGAGCGCGTCCCGGAGGCCTCGGCCAGCGGGGCGCTGGGCCAGCAGGTGTTCGAGGCTTTTCGGCGCGCCCGCGCCAGAGGGCGCATATCTGCGGAAGCCTCGTTTGGGGATGCCCCCAGACGTCCGCAGGGATCTCCGAGGTCACGCGCGCCACGCACCAGGCCCTGTGAAATCTCCGCGTCGACTTCCCCCACCCGGCCCATCGAAGGTCGACGGGCCACTGCCTTTGCAAGGGCAGCACCTCGGCGATGGGCAGCAGCCCGTTGTCGTTGAGCTTGCCCAGCTGTTCACAGAACCACGCGCGCTCCGCCTCGCGGATCTTCGGCAGCGCCGCCGCGCGGGCCCACGAGCGAACCGCCTGCCGCCTGGCCTTCGGCCCCGCCTCCGCCGCGTCGGCCAGGTGGAGCGGGTGCGCGAACGCGCCGTGCGTCTGTGCCACCGCCGCAGCATCCTGCAACCAAGTGCCGCCTCTGGCTGCCAGCGCCGCCCGGATCGCTAGCGCCACCGGCGAGTCCTGCGGCAGGAGGAGCACACGAGCCCACGCTGTGATGATCCGCGTCGCGACCTTGGCGGCAGCCCTCCTGAGCAGGCGCGTCTCGAGGAAGGCGCGCGCGTGGCCGCCCGCGCCGAAGGGCGCAGACGGAGGAAGGCCGAGCAGCGCCTTAGCCACGTCGTAGAACACGCGGTTCAGCTGCGCAGCAACCTCCTTCCAGCCCCGCGCGTGGCTGGCCAGCAGTTCGGCCCCGTGGTAGGCCGCTGCTTCAACGCGGGCAGGGAGTTGGCCGGACTGGAGGGGCAGCCCGAGGCCCCGGTCCGTCAACGCCGCTACCAGGCGCCGCGCTCCGTCGCGCAGCCTGCCGCACACGCGGGCCAGCAGCGGCTCCAGCGACAGCGCGTCGCCGATGACGACGCCCAAAACATCGAGCTCTGTGGCTGGGCGAACTGGGGCCCCATCCACAGCGCCGCAGGCCGCTTGGACCGGGGCGGGGCCGCCCACTGCCATGGCCGCTGGGCCCTTTGCGCCTCCTTGGAAGCGGCGTCTGTAGAAATGGCAGAACTTCGTTAAACCGGCACTCGCCCGCGCAAGCCCCGCCTCGTCTGGCTGGAGGACGAACGCGTCGTCCACGAACTGCGCCATCAGGAGTGACATCGCGGCATCCCCCGGCTCGGTGAGGTTCAAACAAATCCCCGGCGTCTCCGCGCGGCAGCATTCTAGGAGCGCCCTTATCAAGGAGCTGAACAGGTGCACCCCCGCTCGGCGCCCCTGGCCCACGCCGAAGCCGACGAGGGCGTGGATCGGCCCGACCAGCGGGCCCAGGCGAAGGCGAACGGACTCTTCGCCCACGGAGGCGGCGGCGGCAAGCCAGAAACGGCCGCGCACTCCGGCGAGCCCGAGGTGCACGAGGACCGCGTCCCGCCAAGCCAGGTCGAACCCGTGGAGCACGTCCGCTTTCTGGATGATCGTGCGCCGCCCCTGCCGCAGGCGCACTTGCAGGGCGAGCAGGAGTCCGAAGGCCATGAGGCCTGCGTCGAACCTCCCGCCGGCCTGCTCTTCCCCCGCAAAGCGTTCCAGGAGGGGGCGGGTGACCGCCAGCCACGCCGCATCCAGGTGCCCCTCCAGGTCGTCGACGTAACTGATCGGCCTAAGGTTTACCACGTCTGAGACGACCAGTGGGCCTTTCTTCCGAATCGGCGCGACCACTCTCACCCACGCTGAGGCCCCCAACCCGACCGCCAGGTTGAGATTCAGCAGCGCCCATGTGGCCACGCGGCCGCAACCTCCCGTGGCCTTGGCCGCAGCGCGCGGGAGGTGCAACGTCCGCCTCCCTGCCTTGGAATCACGGACCACCTGTTCCACGATCTCCAGGGAGAAGGGGTCGTCCTGCTCGTCCGCCGTCTCGCGGAGGGCCTCCGCCTGCGCTGCCCGAGCTGCGTCGCGCACGGCGGCGGAGAAGGCTGGCGAGCCGGGCACTGCGTCTCCCCCCCGGCCCAAAACCGCCTGAGCCACCGCGTGGACCGTCTTTTCGGGCCCGAGCCGCGCGCCCGTCTCCGGGTCGCAGAGCGCCACCTGCAGGGCGGCGCGCGGCCGAAGGAGACTGGTCAGGAAGCTCTCGGCCTTTGCCTGGGACGTCGCCGCAAGCTCAAGGTAGCGATCGAGTGCCCGATCACGCTCCGCGGCCCGCCGCTCATCGAGCTCATCTTCGAGTGCGAGGTGGTCGGCCTCCGGCGGCGGCAGACCCACCGCAATGGCCATTTCGCCCTCGCGCCGGTCAGCTGCTTCCTGGGCGCCCCAGCTAGCCTCCGGCGGCCGCCGCGCCGTTAGCGCGAGGTCGCCATAGTGCCCTGCCAATGTGTACAGGGCCGATCGCCACCATACCGCGCGGTCTAGCATCGCCTGCCGCACGCCCTTCCGCGACCCCGTCGCCGTCCACGCCAGGATCGAGCTGTTTCGCATCGCCGCGCCCGCCCACCCAGTGAGAAAACGCAAGCATTCTGGGATCTGATCCAGGGCACGGTCCCAGTCGGCGTCGCGACCCCACCTGCTGCTCCCCACCTGTGGGGCTGGCGCTGCCGCCAAGTCCGTCGGGATGACGGCCAGGAGGCGCGCGTGGTCCCCGGCCGGGCACTCCTGGAGACCCGCACGGCGCCACCGTAACCTGTGCGTACAAGTCGGGCGACGAAGCCACCACGTCGATGATAGTGCCAGATCTGTGCGTCGCCACTCCGACGGGGTTGCGTAACACAACTCCAAACCCTGAGCTGCGCGTCAGAAGGTCCAAGACCTCACGGTCTACTAGCGACTCCGCCCCCCTGTTGGCCAGCCCCAGGCGACTGAAATGCAGGTTGAAGTCCCCGGCCACCAATACCCGCCAGCCCCGGTACCGCGGCAACGCCTGCAATTGCAGGTATTCCGCGAGTCGGGATTGCCAGAACTGCCGGCGCACGTCTCACGTCTGCTCCATAATGCGGCGGTGGGCCGTACACCCCTAGCAAGAGCGCGCTGCAACCACCCACGCCCGGCAGCTCGCACCAGATGGCGCGCGCATCGCCCACGCCGTCGATAGGCCCGACCGTCCCCCGCAGCGGCTCCGCGACAAGCACCGCCACGCTTTCTGGTCCGTCGCATCTTTCGCCATGGAACTGGAAGCCCGTCCACTCGGGCCAATGCAGCCCTGGCGCCACGCGCGGCTCGGAGATGACCGCCACGACCGCGCGTTCCTCGTGGAGCCCAGCTGTGACCGCCGCGATTCTCCCGCTGTCGGTCTCCATGCCAGCCCCCATCCGGAATGCCCCGGCCACGTTCAGAGCAGCCACAATCCCCGTGACGACTGTGGACTCGGGGGGCGGGGGGGCCGGGCACTGCGATGCTGGCATCCCGCCCTCCCAGGGGCCAAACATCGCGTTAAGCGGGAGCCCCGCCGCCCGTTGGGCAGCCCGATCCTCGGCCCTCTTGAGGGCCTCCTGCACGGCAGCATCGAAAATACGGAAGCCCTCGAAACCCTCCGGAACGTCGCGGTCGCGCAGCCCGTGGGGCGGTCGCGAGTCCAGCAGTGCCCGGGCGTCCCGCCTCAGGCACAGCGCCGCCCATCGCCCTCGAGCGCCAGCATCTCCAGGAAGTGCCCCCCCTACGAGGCCCAAGAGTTCCTGTCGCGCCGCTGTCGCGGCCCTCGGGGACCCCCACTCCTGGAGGTCAGCGGTAGAAGGTGCAGCCATTGGCCCCGTAGCGCGCCGCTGGGCCCGTCCCGGGCGTTGGATTACGGCCCACTTGAGCCAAAATGGCTACGGACAAGTGGGCGCAGACCCCTGTGGCTTCAGACCGGGTGCGCCACACGCCCCCCTAAACAGAGGGTCCGGCGAATGCCACGTAGAAAATCACGGTAAGGTGGGGTCCAAAGGCCGCGCCGATTCCGTGCCCCAGGCTCCGTGCGGGGGGCGCCTCCTCGGGGATGCGCGGGCTTCCCCCTGGACGCGACCACAGCGCGGGAGGCTCCCAAGGCGGCGTACCTGGGCGACGCGCCCCGCACGGGAAAAGATGTTCAGGCAAATCCCACCAGCCCTTTGGGCGTGAGTGGTTTAGAGAGCCCGCTCTGTTCTCAACCCCCTTCTTCCCCTTCGGGGAGGGGTTTACCCCTCCCCCTCCCCCCTCCCCCTGGGCCTGGAGAGGGCGTTCCGCGGGTCGTCAGGGGGGTCATTTTCGACTCCTGGGAGGGCTAAAAAACGACACCCCTCACGAGGATTCTGGCCCCGACGGGGGGAGGCAGAAAAATGCTCCCCTCTTCTTTGAAGGCAGAATCGTTGATTTTACTACGGTTTTGGCCCAATTTTTGGCCTTCTGAGGGGGCAGCGCTCATTACAACTCCCCTCTTCTTTCAAGGCAAAATCATTGATTTTACGAAGGTTTTGGCTCCATTTTGCCCTTCTGAGGGGGCAGCGCTAATTAAAGCTCCCTTCTTCTTTGATCGATTTCCTCCAAGATGGCCCCAAGAAGCGCCCAGGAGGCACCAAGAGGCCCCAAGATGGCCCCCAGAGGCCCCCAGGAGGCTCCCAAGAGGCCTCCAAGAGGCCCCCAAGATGCCCCCAAGAGGCCCCCAAGAGGCCCCAAGAGGCGCCGAAGACGCCCCAAGAGGCCCCCAAGAGGCTCCCAAAAGACATCTAGGCCCCATTTTGGCCTTCTGAGGGGGCAGCGCTCATTACAGCTCCCCTCTTCTTTCAAGGCAAAATTATTGATTTTACGAAGGTTTTGGGCCCATGTTGCCCTTCTGAAGGGGGCAGCGCTAATCCCACCAGCCCTTTGGGCGTGAGTGGTTTAGAGAGCCCGCTCTGTTCTCAACCCCCTTCTCCCCCTTCGGGGAAGGGTTTACCCCTCCCCCTACCCCCTCCCCCTGGGCCTGGAGAAGGCGCCCCGCGGGTGGTTGGAGGGGTCTTTTTCGACTCCTGGGAGGGCTAAAAAACGACACCCCTCACGAGGATTCTGGCCCCGACGGGGGGAGGCAGAAAAATGCTCCCCTCTTCTTTGAAGGCAAAATCATTGATTTTACTTCGGTTTTGGCCCCATTTTGGCCTTCTGATGGGGCAGCGCTAATTAAAGCTCCCCTCTTCTTTCAAGCCAAAATCATTGATTTTACAAAGGTTCTGGCCCCATTTTGGCCTTCTGAGGGGGCAGCGCTCATTAAAGCTCCCCTCTTCTTTGATCGATTTCCTCCAAGATGGTCCCAAGAAGCGCCCAGGAGGCACCAAGAGGCCCCAAGATGGCCCCAAGAGGCCCCCAGGAGGCCCCCAAGAGGATCCCAAACGGCCCAAAGAGGCCCCCCCGAGGCACCCAAGAGGCCGAAAAGCCCATCAGGACGACCCTCTACTCGCCTGGGCGTCGTTTCTGGACGGGCAGGAGGAGGGGCCCGAACGACTCGCACCAGGACGAGGGGCCCGAACAACTCACACCACGAGAAGCCCGAACGACTCACACCAGGACGAAGAGCCCGAACGACTCACACCACGAAGAGCCCGAACGACTCACACCAGGAAGAAGGGCCCGAACGACTCACACCAGGACGAGAAGCCCGAACGACTCAAACCACGAGGAGCGCTTTCTCTCCCTCCTCCTCCGCCTCGTCCTTCTCCCGCTCCCACCACAAGGAGGATGTACAAGGAGGCGGGAGGAAAGAGGGACAGGGGAGATATGCGGGGGCAGGCGGAAACACGCCTGAAAAACACGACTGTCGGCATGCTTCGCTAGAGTTGCTGTTTTGAGATGGGCTGGTGGGGATACGCGAAGCGTGAAGAATTTCCAGGATTTGCCTGATCATCTTTTTGGTCATTTTCAGGCTGGGGGCCTAGCTCCGTAGGTGATGCGAGGCCCGGCCCCTCCAGAGCTGAAAAAGCTGAAGCAAGCCCCGGTCCCTCCAAAGCGAGGAGGAGGAGGACGAGGGGGAGGGGGAGGAAGGAGGAGGAGGAGGAGGAGGAGGAGGAGGAGGAGGAGGAGGAGGAGGAGGAGGAGGAGGAGGAGGAGGGAGGAGGAGGAGGAGGAGGAGCGGGGAGGGGGGAAAGGTAACGAATTTCCCCCC